GTATGGAGCTTGTTGAAGATATAATGAAGTAAATAAAAGTGGACCCTCTCTAACAACAACATGGTATAAGAACAGGCATAGGTCCTTGGTTTGAGTCTCACTGCCACCACTATCAAAAAGAACTTCCATGACCCATGAAAAAGAATCATGCTTGCACGTGCGTGTTGAAGATATAATCAAGTAAATAAAAATGTACCCTCTCTAACAGCATAAGCGTTTATATGAGATGGTCACACAATTCAACACAGCCACATACGAAGGACATGAGTACTCAAGAGCAGCTTTCTCACTTGATTGTGACGTGGAAGTGCTTAACCTAAGGCAGAAAATAGGAGGAGAATGATAATTGTGAGTTGGTGCTGTTTCTGTAAGGAAAGTTGGGGAAGATACAATCACATATTGCTACATTGTAGCTGTACTACAGAGTTATATCATTCGTGTATGCTGTGTTTGATGTGGCCTGGGCACTCCCTAGAACTGTGGCAAATGTGGTGAGTTGGAGATTGGAAGTGAATAAAAATGAGTTGTGGAAAGTATCACGTCTTTGTGTTTTTTCGCTGATAATGAGAGAAAGGAATAGAAGAATTTCAAAGGAATTGAAAGTCGGACGTGGAGAGTAAAGAGCTCTTCTTTTATTCATCTGTATTTTTGATGTAGAAAAGATATTCCACGTTATACAGAATAGTTGGATGGAGTTTTTAAAGCTTAATCTACATCCGATGTAGATCTTTATGTGACATGAACAAGCATTTTGATATATAAAATCAATCCAGTCTCTATTACAATGAAAACAAGGAGTTCAATCTAGCTTGTAAAACTAATTCTCAAAGGCAAACTCAGGAGAAGGAGGCGCACTGAGGTATCTCTTTATGTATAACTCAACTAAGGTGTAACTTTTTGGGCCTAAGGGCACAGCTCATCAAGACTGCCTCTCTGAATTTATCATTTATAGGGGAAAAGGTTTTTAGCTTCAGTAGGTAGTCAGTGCATGATTCAAGAGTAAGCATTATTGTAAAGGAACATTTTAGAGAAACTGAAAAATACCCGTCAGGCAAAACTTGGTCTTGGATTCTCCTTTTACGGACCGTCTACCAACTCAGTCTTACTTGCAACAAGTCTATTTTAGCTGTCTCACTTTGTGACTGCAGTCCACATACTTTCTGATTCTTTACTGCTTCCTTTTCATAGATTATGCTCTCTAACGATGAAATTTAGACAAGCTAGGGACTTGGCCACAAAAAAAGTTAGATAAGCTAGGTACAGGCTATTTTGATGTCAGTTGACAACTGACAACGAAAACATATTCCAATCTGCATCCAAGCTCTATTGACATACTACTCATTAGAGTTCACACCATTAATCCTTTTGACACCACCGTGGACCAAAAGGAATAGATTTAACAAATATTAAAGTTAAGAGAGCAAGACATGCCTGGAATAGAACGGTAGAATGCATCGACAACATGTTCCTTATTTTGCATGAGGTACGCTGCTTGCCCCGTATAGGTTAAAAGAAGGCAAGGGAAAACAATGACTGTGAAAGCAAGCTGTATTGCTGACACTGGAAAATGAGCAAGATCAGCAAAAAGTGCCTCTGTCCCTGAAGTAGTCAGCAAGGAACTATCAGAGTTCAAACAGTCATTCTTTGCACTCAGAAGAGATGATTGAGAAAAGGGAAGGGACGAAGACAGAACCTGTAATGCTGAGCATTATTCCTCCCAGGGATGTCCAAGCCTCTTTCTTTCTCCTCCTAAAATACCTATATATGCACACAGGAGAAAAAGCCCTCAAAACAGAGCTATCGTACTTCCAGATGTTGAAGATGCCAATACCTCCTACTAATAGAAACCAAAGCAGCACAATGGGAGCAAACAGCCAACCAACCCTGTCTGTGCCATAGTGTTGTAAGCTAAACAGACCAACCAATATAATGACAGCAACAACCACTACTACATCTGCATAAAAAAGCTCAGGAATTAATTTCTTCTTATAAGCATCAAAGGATAGAAAATCAAAGTCATGGTAAATGATTAAAATAGAAAAAAGTAACCAAGATGGATCAACAAAGAAATAAAAAAGATGTGGTATTAATAAGAAAAGTAGAATAGTACCATTACTCATCTTTGGATGGTCCACCTTTATCCCACCAGAAGCTGAAAGAACTGAGAAAAATATTCTGAATAAGTGCTTTTTTACAAACTTAAAATAAAAGAACCAATAGAAAAGTAAGCCAAAATATAGAGAATAAATCTTCATAGGCTTTCACACACTCTGAATGACACCATAACTACCTCTTGACTAAGTTTTTTAATATTTGTTTAAATATTTTCCAATTATAAAAAATGTGGCATACAATACCTTTTATGTAATTTCCAAATGCATAGATTTTACTTTTAAAAAGATTAAGGAATCGTTTTCCGAGTTGAGGACAAACAATAAATAGTTTAATTCTCTACTTTAATCTCGTAATTCTTTTCAAAAGGAGTATATATTAGATGTTCAAATGGTAGCTTAAAATCTTAGGATTAGAAAAGTTTGAAAGTGGTAAAGTTTTAAGTTAAATACAGTTCCACATTGGATAAATATCGTGTGTATAGTGCTTGACATCTATAAATAAGTGTCCCGTATGCATCAAATTATTGAATCATCTATTTTGTATTTTGATGATGAAAGTTATAAAATCATCTACGTATCTTCTCTTTTCTTATTTCTTCACATAGTATTAGAGCATCTACTATCTTGGTAGAGAGACAAGGAATTTTCTGTTACTAGCAGTAGCAAGCAACCATTATGCTGCCTGCCCAAGCATATTTCCAACGACTGTTCCAATTATACTGTGTCTGTTAAACCAACTGTTTTTAGATAGCACTTTGCCTGTCATACAACAATACATCTTTCTGAAATTATTCCGGATATTCTTCTGCCCACTTTTCGAGCAACTTTTCCAACTAGCCACCAGCAATTAGAACCTTACTTTCGGACAACTACTTTGGCAATACCATTCAAAAAAACCAATCAATTGATTATTAACTTTTTTACATTTATAAAGTAGTTTGGATTGATGTAATATATTATTGCATTATTAGTGTCCCTCCTTGGTAGATGTAGCTATAGACATTGTAAGGTGGATTTATTAAAGGATTAAGGCATAAGACTATTTGTCTATAAACATTTTTATTTACTCAAATAGCTCTATTTCTCTAATGCATTCTCTCAATCTCTCCTCATTTTTCCTCGTCTTGCTCACATCGTATGAGATCCCTGGGGAGAAATAAATCCCAATCCATGCAATCACCCGAAGGGTCTAAGAGCATTGTCGTTGCATAATTACCCTGCCACTGCGTGTCTATTTGAAATTCTTCTGCTATTCGGAGTATAACAACAACAACAACAATAATTTGGGGTTGACTATATGAATCCTCATTCCCCATTTTGCTCCATTTGTATACTTTACAGTCCAATAGTCAAAATTTCTCACACTAGAAATTGTCTACATATTTTACTGACATATCTCTGAACATACTACAAAGACTTCTACTAAACACCGGACTTAATGTAAGCTTACTGAAAGTCTTTTGGAATTTCTACCACTAAGAACTTGGGCTTAAGCTTTTAGGGGTTGTTTGGTTCATGGATTAGTTATGCAGAAATTACAATAGATGGTAACATGGATTGTTAAGCGACAAGGAACAATACAGGGATTGTCGTGATTGTTATAAAAAGAATGCACTTTCAAAATAAGTAGCAGTATACCGGTAATCCGGTATTACTAATACACATATCCTTACTCCAAATTCTATCCATTATTAAAAGGTACACATGTTCCTGCATAAAATTTTCAGATATTTGTTAAAAACGTTTGGTACCGAAAACCAATGTTGTTTCAATAATAAGTCTTACACTGAGATTATTTTATACAGCAAACCAAGTGAGCCCTTAGAGAGCAAGGATGAAAAGCAACAAGCTGGGAGTAGCTTAGGCAGCTATAGTTAGACTTTGGTCATTACAGAGAAAATAAAAAACTGTTGCGAATGCATGTCATGTAGTCTTGGCAATATGACCCGCATTCTCATCATCAAATTGTGTGGTTTTGAAGTATAAGGGAACAAACATTTAGGTACAGATAATACTATGCATTCTGGGTCTTTTTGGATTGAAGTGACCTGGTCTACTGAAACTAGATGGATCGAATCCTAAACCATCATGAATTAAGAGAGCATCTATCTCAAGAAACATACCTGATCACTGATTTTTTTCTGCAATAAGATATATGAGCTTTTATCTAGGCGAAACTTATTAGGCAAAGTTTTTGACCAGAAACTAGAATGGTGAACTTCCATCAACCTAGTAGATACAAGACGACAAGTACAAGACAAACTTCAAATAAAGGTACCTGATATAGCCGGAGTGAGAATTCCATCACCTATTACCGTGCAAGTGCCAACAATTACAATAATAAGAAGTGCGTTCTTCCTGAATGGATATGCCTCCAACCATCTTTTTGTTTTTGCAGCAAATGAATGCTCATGGAATGTGCTACGGCTATAAGTTGTCAGCTCCTCATCTGTCCGATGTTGGTTGGGGATTGTCTTTATCTTAGCATGCCGGCATAGTAAAGAATAAAGAGCAAAAGTCCCACCTAAAAGAAAAAACTCAAATTTATCATCTTTAATGTTTCCCGCATTAGTTAGTGAACAAATCTTTGTTGCTATATAGTTATGTAACGTGATTAATAAAAAATGTAAAGCACATGAAGGCAAAGGAAATTAAGTTAACTTAACAACAATATCAAATGAATGCAAGAAATCCTTTACTTTAGTTTTAGATCATGACATGTCTGTAACACAGTCAACATTAGAGTGATTGGTTTATCACAGTAAAAAAATAACCTCAATTGATAAACAAACTGTTCTTTAGATTCAAAATTTAGTAACTCCATGTGAAATTAAGGAATACCAGGAAACAACTATATATTTTAAACATATATTTTCCTAAATTGCAATACAATCTAACACTTTACTTCACCCATTAGCCCTTTCTACATTTTTAACTTGTGCAACTTATTTATGCTTAACTATTCTCTTTCTTTTCTTTTTTTCTTCTAAAATACAGAAAAAAAAAAGAAGAAATAAAGATTATTTAAGGGTAAGAATAGAAGAAGTCTCTGTAAATGGAGATTTTCCAGAACAGAAAATAACAAGGTTCAATATAGTGCCAACAAGAGAACCTCATGAAATGCACACCATAATGAAGGACAAAAATTGTCTATGACAGAAGATAATTTGAAGAGATCCAGAGGTTAGAGAAAGTTGTAGCTTAGATTTTCAGGCCAAATATTTCCACACCACCTAGTAACACAGATTTTCAAGAAACCTTTGTCATTCTAAACAGATATGAAAACCAAAATTTTATAGCAAATATAACAGTAAATGCTAACGACGAAAAAAGCTTCTGCAGATTGCTCAGCAACTTTTAGTAGCTCATGTCTGCAAGACAGATTGGGGAACCTATGTGCAAGGACGAGAAAGTGTAATAAGACGCATGACCTGCTTCGCTATTGTTCTTTGCCTTAGCGCTGATGCAAGAGATTGTTTAGGTTATTTGAGGGAATAATGTTTCCACATCTTCACTTCATGAGCTTTTAAATGCTGTGATTCGATTACAACAGGAGGGAAAGCCTTTATGTGAAGATGCTTGATATTGTCTATGTGATGTCAAGGTTTGAACCTCATATGGAATAAAAAGGTTTTGAGATCTATAATCACAATAAGATTGCGAGGCTTTTGCTTGTCATATTAACTTTCTATTGACTCAAAATAACAATTTTTCCTCTTCTTTCTAAAGAACAATGTTTCTCTTTTGCATAAAATTTTAAGCAACATGAATGAGGATATTAGTAAGTTCTTGCGTTTCTAGAAGTTCTCTCCATTCATCCTCCATTGAAGCAATTCATTTTTTATTTGAAGCTAGGCGGTGATTATATAATGCTACGAAGAGGTACATTATAATTGTGTATGTTAGAGTTAGAATATTAGAAGTGTTAAGTTTCTTAGAGTTCGACAATGTCCTACATCGGACAAATATTATCTATATAATGTGTTTGATGCCTATGATAGTTGTCTTGTATTGATCAAATTACCAAGTCATCATTACATCTCTTCCATTCTCTTTTTTTCCTCACGTGGAACCAAAACCTCTACAATCATGGGAGGTTTATGTGATTCACCACTCTTGGATGTTAGAAATTGAGCAATGCTATGTTTTCAAATGTTAGAAATTGAGAAACTACCTTCCTGGTCTTATAACAGGTATGTTGCGGGTAGGAGATAACGCAGTAATGAACTAAGAGATGAATAACAGAAAGCAGAAGCATTCATACCAAAGTTCCCAAGGGTCAATTGTTTCATCTTCCTAATTTTAAAGTCATTACATCTTATGAGAATTGCTTCAAGAATGAAGACTCCACAATCTTAACCAAAAATGAATTGCTCAAACACATAAGGGAAAAGAGATATGAGACTTTGTATGCCATGGCATATCTGAAATCCATTTCGAACTTTAGGCAACAAATTAGAACACAAGAGAAGGTAAAAGATTCTTCTTCACTTTAACTATAAAGCATTAGTTGAGCCATGGGATTCTGTTCATAAAATGTTGTTCTCTTGGACATAAACACAGCCTCGCCATTGATTTAATTTTCTCGAGAAGAAAGCAACTCAAGAAAACTAACCGAGTACATAACGAGGGTAAGGTTTAGGACGTATCTTCCGTCCTAAAGCACACACAAGTGTATTGACTTGCTTAAACCCAATTTTCAGAGCTGCACCGCCTAGTCAGATTAACCTAGAATTAAAGGGTTCTCTCCAACTTGACCAGTCGTTTAACTGCATTAACTGGACAAGGGAGCAAAGAGACCCAACCCTGTCCAACCAACAACAAGGTGCCTAATCAATTAAAGCCAGCAACATTCTCTTTCAACAATGTCTTAGCAGCATTTATATCCGAAGTTAACAGCTACCACTGGAATAAACATTTCATACAGGAAAGCTGCTCAGCATGCAAGCATGTAACTTATAAATCATGAGACATGCATAACGCAGAATCAACAACTGAATCAGATGAAAGAATTGAGCATTTGAACTCCAAAAGTAGCTTACCTTGGCCATTGTCATTCGCTCTACAAACAATGAAAACATACTTGAGGAGAGGGATAAGTGTGAGGGAATATATAATTAATGAAAGCGCGCCAACGACATCCTCTGTATCATCAATTCCATGGGGAAATGTATTGTAGAACACATACAAAGGAGAAGTTCCCAAGTCTCCATAAACCACTCCTAGACTCTGAAAAGCAAGCCGCAGAAGCAACAATGCTGAGAATTTCTGCATTGAGACAACTATATCAGGACAGGGGCAGAAAGAGTGATCACAACCAAAACTGGACTCGTAATTACTCTGCTTTGTGATCAACCAAATAGTCACAACTATGGGATCATTTTTTAAATAAGGCAATGACAATCATGGCATCATAAACTCTTATAGTTAGTAAAAATACTCTTACAGTAGGACAGTTGCAGATATGTAATAAGTCAATTTTCCTCTGTTGGTCATCAATTGCGTTTGAGTATAAATATGAAGTAAACAAGTCTTCAACATGAAAAATTACCTTCCCACACCCTACTCTCCGCAAAATCCCCAACCCCCAGCCC